CGTGGCCCAGCCCGCGCAGCTGAAAGCCATGATGGGTATAAAAGCAGAGGAAGTGGCCCGGGGAGGGGGGAGGCCACGGCATAATTCGATTAAAAGGCCATAAAGGCAGAAGGAGCCGAGATTGGGGGTGGGGGGAGGCTCTGGCACCAGCACAACCCCACAGCAGCCCCTGGAGAACCCTCCGGGGAGGGGGGTGGTCTCAGCTCTGTGAGGGAGAAACTGAGGCAAAGGGGATGGGGAAATGTCGGGGATGGTGGGTGACACCGTGGGGCTGGGGGTGCTGCTGGGTGCCCCTGCACTGGGTGCCCAGCGGGGCCGATACCCCGATACCGGGTGCCCCCCAGCACCGGTCACCCCGTGGTGCCGCCCTGCTCTCTCACGCCCCATCCCCTTTTTCCACAGGCTGCCGAGTGCCATGGCCGCGAGTCCCCGCTGACATCGCCCCCCACACCTCGAGGTGTCCCCTCCGCCGCCACCACAGCCATGGGTGACTCCTACGCCGCCGCCTTCCCCAGCGCCCCGGGGCTGCTGTCGCCGTCCACCAGCCCCCAGGCGTCCCCCGGCCCCTACGGCCCTGACTACGGCCCCTTCGGCCACCCCTTCCCAGCSCCGTCCGGCGCCCAGGAGGTGCTGGGGGCCCCCGTGGTGGTGGCGACCAAGGGACACCCCCCGGGCGAGTGCCTGCCGGGGGTCTACCCCTCGCTGGAGATGCCGCACCCCTACGGCTCCTGGTACAAGGGCGGCATCGGCGGGGGGCTGCCGGGGGGCTCGGGGCCCGCCGCCCCGTCCTGGTGGGACGTGCACCCCAACGGCGGCTGGCTGGGGGGGCCGGCGGGCACCGAGGGGCTGCAGGGCTCGCTGCAGGGCCAGCCCACCCTCAGCCCTCCTCTACCCGCCTACGGCTCCGATTTCGGCGCGCTGAACCCCCCTCCTTACACCAACACCCCCGCGGCGCCCCCCACCCCAAAACCCAGCCCGGGTGAAACCCCAAAAGGTCCCCGCGGCGGCTCCCTCGGGGGACGCCCGGCGTGCGATTGTCCCAACTGCCAGGAGCTGGAGCGGCTCGGCGGCCCGGGMGGGGCTCGGCGGAAGCCGGTGCACAGCTGCCACATCCCGGGCTGCGGCAAGGTGTACGGCAAAGCCTCGCACCTCAAAGCGCACCTGCGCTGGCACACGGGCGAGCGACCCTTCGTGTGCAACTGGCTCTTCTGCGGGAAGCGCTTCACCCGCTCCGACGAGCTGGAGCGCCACGTCCGGACGCACACGCGCGAGAAGAAGTTCACCTGCCTGCTGTGCAGCAAGCGTTTCACCCGCTCCGACCATCTCAGCAAGCATCAGAAAACCCACGCCGAGCCCGGGCCGCCCAAGCCGCCCCCCGGCACCGAGCAGCCCCCCGCGTCCCCCCGGCCGCCGCCCACCTCGCCCGGTAAGGACGGCGGCAGTCCCGAAGCCGGCAGTTTGTTGGAGATTTGAGCCTTTCATCGTCTTCATCTTCGTCATCATCCTCTTCCTCCTCCGCCGCGCCGCGGGGGATATTTATTACGGGGTGATGCCCCCCCCAAATGCCCCCCTCCCCTAATTCCCCAGCTCCTCGTTAGCCATTCTAATTTATGTCTTAAATTATGGGGGGTGGGGGCTCTCCGAGCGCTCTGGGGCTCACTGGGGGGTGTCAAGGTGAGATTCCCCTTTTTCTGTGTCTTCCCCTCCAACCTTCCCCAAACCTTCTCACCCCCCAGCCCTCGCCTCGCCCGCACTCAGGGACAGGGTTTGCCCCCCTCCCCCGGCCTGGTTCAGCAGTGCTATCGTAACGTGTCCCCCCACCTTTTTTTAGCTGCTTGCCCCTCCTGCCCCCTGGAAAAAAAAGCAATAAAAGGATTGAGAGTGGAGCCGGGCCCCCCTTCTGGGTGGCTTCATCTTCACAGGGATGGGCTCAGCTTCCTCCTCCCTGCAGGGATCCAAGGGAAACTGAGGCACGGGGGGGGCATGGCCCTGCTCGGGGTTACTGTGTCCCCTCCTCTCTGGGGGTGGCAGGAGATGAGTGGGGTTGGGGACAAGCTGGGCTGTCCCTTTGTTCCCAACCCCTTRGGCGTTGTAGCCCATGTGGTCCCCTGTCCCTCTCCCCTTTCCTCGTGTCCCCAGGACCTGTAGGGCCATGTCCTCCCTGTCCCCATGGCCCTGTGACCCCAAGAGCCTGTCACCATGTCCCTATTGTCCCATATCCCCCTAACCCCATGCCCCTCCTCATGTCCCCAGCCTCAGGGACCCCCCAAGCTCTTTTTGGGGGCCCTGATGGGACTCACCCTGCACACGTATGTCCCCAACATCCAAGGACATCACATGTACACAGGGACATATGTGTGCACAGCCCCATGCCTCAGTTTCCCCCYGGCCACATCCCAGGGCCCACGTGGCAGTGCCAGGCACGTGGCAGGGCCACGTGTCCCCGAGGACACCCCAATTTTGGACGCTGTGGGCTGGCRGGGACCCCGCTCCCCTCCCCCCGAGCTCCCCCTCCCCGTGCCCTGGGCTCCCGCCAGCCCTTTGATGCGCTCAGCCCTGGTTTGGGGCTTTTCCTAAAAAAAAAACCCCAAAAGCCACGGAAAAAGGCAAAAGGAGGCGGAAACGAGCTCCTGTGCCAGCTCGGAGGGCGGGGGGCAGCTGCTGGCACCCATTGCCCCGGGGGGACAGGGACAGSGATGGCAGCAGGTCCCTGTGCCAGCCCCGCGGGAGTCACGGTGGCCACGAGCTGGCCAGAACCCAGGAGTCCCCAGGGAACAGGAGGACACGCTGTCCTCCCACACAGGGAGGGGGGAAACTGAGGCACAGAGRCATSARTGGARTAKCTGGAGCTCAGTGCCACCACAGAGAGTGTGACAGAGCTGTCCCCGGGGTGGCACCTGGGGGGATTCAGAGCGGCAGTGCCACCTCTCCTTGTAGCCCTTCAAGCCAGCCACACCCTCCCCCGCCACAAATTTGCCCATTTCGGGGTTTTTTCCCCCCAAAAAAACGCCAGCCCTGCTGCCGCTCGCCGTGGGTGGGCCAGTGCCAAGCAGGGCAACGAGCCACGTCCCCGAGCCAAACCCCGGCCCGGTGGCCACCGAGGGCTCGACCGCCCGGAGCCTCCCAAACCACAGAGCCCAACCCCATCCAGCGACCCCCCCCAAATCCCAGCGGGGACCCTCCCCCTCCGCCACCACCGGCTTTTTTTTCCCCGTCTCGCTGCCCCATCAGGGCCGGTTTGGGGGGGTCCGAGGGACGCCACGAGGCCACGCCAGCCCTGCGGTGGCTCTGATGTCGGCGCCATCCCAAATCGTCGTCTCCTATCGAACCCCGCTCGCTCCGTAACGGGCGAGGAATGTGGGGCCCCCCGCCGCAGCTCCCCCCGCCGCCTTTATTTAATATCCTGAGAAAATTAAAATAACTCTTGCGGCCGCTAAGGAAAACACGGAGATAAACAGGAGGAAAGCGGGAGCCCCGGGACAGGGGCTGGGAGAGAGCCAAAGCGGGGGCACACGAGGGGCGCGGCACCCAGGTGACACGGGGAGAASGGACACGGGCAGATCCCCCCGCGGGAGGGGACACCGGGGGAGGTGGCACTGGGGACATGGGCACGCACGGGACCCCACGGGAGCGCGGGACACCGGGATGCCCCGGGAACCCACGGCGGGGGCGGGACACGAGAGGTGCCCGCAGGACACAGAAGGGTCCCGGGGGTGTCCCGGGGTCCCGATCTGATCCCCGGTCCCGGTCCCGGTCCCGGTCCCGATCCGATCCGATCCGATCCGATCCGATCCCGATCCGATCCGATCCGATCCCGATCCCGGGCCCCACGTGACCCGCCGGCTGCACGCGCTGCCGACCCGCCCCTTCACGGGATGGGGCTCCGCCTCTCTTAAAGGGGCAATTAATCCACAGTAGATCTCCCACCAAAACTAAGCCATCCCCCCTCCGGATACAACCGGAGAGTTACCGGATTTACCAGAGTGACGAGTGTAAGCAGGGAGCAGGGAGAATCACGCAGCCTCCGCGGCGGAAAATCGGGGAGGGCGATGTCGAACACCAGTGACGACCCCGTCCCGTTCCTCCACGGGCCGTGGCCCCTTTAATTCTGCCACACCCGCCACGAGAGCGGCGCGCGGCGGCGATTGGCGCGATCCGGGAGCGGGAAGGGGTGAGTGGAACCAACATGGCGGCGCCGGGGGCTGAGGGCGGGGAGCGGGTGAGGGGGAGCCGGGGGGCACCGCGGGGAAACCGGGGGGTACCGGSGGCTGTGAGCGGGTGAGGGGCGGCGGGGCCAGCGGAGGGACCGCCGGCTTGGAGCCGCCGCGTTCCGAGGGCACCGGAGGCTTCAGCTGTCGCCCCTCACCCCGGGATCGCCCCCAGGCCCGGCGCCGCTATGTGCACCCTGGGGCTGTTCCCGCCGCCGCCTCCCCCTGGAGATGTCACCCTGTACGAGCTCAACAACGCCCTGGTGTGCGGCCGCCTCAGCGAGCAGCTCCCGCTGGCCTTCCAGAGCCAGGTGAGAGCCCCGGGCCGGGCGAGTCCCTCCTTCCCCTCCCCAGAGCCAGGCGAGCCCCTCTTGCCCCCCGAGCCGTGTCACCCCCTCCATCCTGAGGGTGCCACATTTGTCCCCCTTTAGCTGTGGCTCTGCCGGGGTCTCTCCCCCTCCAGGCTCCCTCAATCTCTTTCCCCATTCCCTCGCCCCTTCTTGTGCCCCTTCTTTCCTCCCATCGTTATTTTCCCCCTGCCATGGGGGTGCTTCCCTTGGGCTCCGAGGGGGCTCAGGGTGCTGCGGGTGCTGCAGGTGCCCGAGCTGCCCGTGCTGAGCCTGCCCAAGGAGCCTCTCAAAGCTCACGGCCGCCTGGAGCCCAGCGCCCGCCCACCCTTCATCCACCATCGCGAATCCCTCTGGAAGCGCTGCCTCAGCGCCTGGTGAGTCCCCCGAGGTCCCCAAACCGCTCGATYTGCCCCCAGAACGGGCAGGGGCACCGGGGGCTGACCACACTCTCGCCACAGGCGCGACGCCGGGCTCTGCGGGCTGCTCAGGGAGCTCGCCAGCGCCGAGGAGGAGGGTGAGTTGGGGCTGCCTGGACATCTCCTGGGTCTCGCTGTGCTCCTTTGGTTGTGTCCTGCTGCTCCTGCCCGTGCCCCCGGTGCTGCTGACAGGGCAGCTGAGTGTCCTCTGTCCCCCCAGGGCTGCGGTGGCTGCGGATGGGCTCGAGCCACGCACTGGCCGTGTGTCGCTGGCTGTCCTCGCTGCACGGATCCCTGTTCCCACACCTCTCTGTGAGTCCTTGCAGCCCTGATCCCGCTGCTGGGGCAAGGGGAGCAGCGATTTTCGGTGGGGGGTGGTCCCTTCCTCACTGAAAAACCTCTAAAATACTCCTCCTGGTGAGTTCCAAACGCTGCTTCTTCCTCCACTGGAGGAAAATGGACACTGGGAGGGCTCTTGGGCAGCAAAATGCTCCAAGAGGGACCCAGATCCAGGTGGGGGAGAGGGAAATGGGGTGGGCACTGGGGGCCCTGGCTGCCAGCTCAGTGTTCTGCCTTTATCTGCAGCTGACCAGTGAGGACATGATTGCAGCCTTCTCCCAGGCYGTGGATTGGTGAGTCCTGGGTGTCCCAAAATCACCATKCTGGGGGTCTGGGACACCCCTGGARYTGGGTGAGGGGTGGGAGTACAAGGACAGGAAGGCCCTATTGGGGTAGTCTTGGCCATTAAAAGGAAATATTCCCCTACTGGCTCTGAGTGCTCTGATTTGTGTGTCCTAATTAGAGAGAAATTGGGGGTTAAAGGAGATCAGATGCTGGAAAATGCCTTCCAATTCTGACCAAAGACTGTGGTCACCATCTCCTCAGCAGAACTGTGTGAATAATTCCCAGAAACAGGGCATTTCCCAGAGAAAATGGCCTTGTTGAGCAGCAAAAAGGAAGTTTTATTTCCCTGGGAACTCTGGGAAGGGGCTTTGCCAGCCCAGGGGTGCTGGGGAATCTCACCCTGTCCTGTCCTCCCCTCCAGGGCCRGCTGCACCGTCCGGGCCTTCGCCTGGCACCCCCACACCAACAAATTTGCTGTGGCTCTTCTGGACGATTCCATCCGTGTCTACAACTCCAACAGGTGGGGCTGGCTCCCGGGATTTGGGCAGCCCAGGGTGGGCACTGCCCTGCTCCTGCTGCCCGTGGGCTCCTGTTCAGCCCTCCCTGCTCCTTCCCCACTCTCCCCCGAGCCTGAAGTGCTTGTTTTTTTCCTTTTTCCTTTTCCTCCTTGCTCCATAACTCTGGGGACATTGTGAGGGTCACCCAGGCCCAGGGGGTGGTGACACAGCCAGGGAGACACAGCCTGAGTGTCCTCTCTCCCCCAGGTCCCCCTGCTCCCCCAGGGAATGCCAGTCCCTGCTCAGAAGAAGACTCTGCCGGCTGCTCCTGCAGCCCCCCCAGTGCTGCCCAGTGTCCCCAAGCTGGGATTTCCGGCCAGCCCGGGCCCTCTCTGGGCTGGGGACAGCTCAGRTCCATCACACCAGGTGTGCTCTGGGTCACTCTGGTGTCCCCAGTCTGGGAATTCCTGTCCCCTCCTGGGGAAGCAGGGCACGGCAGAGCCACCCCTCCCTTCCCACTCTGCTGTCCCCCTCACTGTGGGCAGAGCTGGCAGGGGACACTGTGGCTGCATGAGGGCTGTTCCCCCACACTTCCCCCTGTGTCACCTGTGTCACCTGTGTCACCTGTGTCACCTGTCCCCTCGCTGGCAGTGCCACTGTGCCCTCGCTGAAGCATCGCCTGCAGAGGAACGTGGCTGCCATGGCCTGGAAACCTCTCTGTGCCTCCATCCTGGCTGTGGCCTGCCAGAGCTGTGTCCTCGTGTGGCACCTGGACCCCACCTCCCTCTCCACAAGGTGACAGCCCCCACCTTCCCTTCCTGGCTGTTGTCACCCCGTTGGGGCTGGCTTTGGGACAGCYCCACSCATCMTGCCAGCAAATGCCAGCCCTTCCCRGTGGTTCCTTCCTCCTCTTTTCCAGGCCCTCATCTGGCTGTGCCCAGGTGTTGTCCTACCCCGGGCACAGCCCTGTCACCAGCCTGGCCTGGGCACCCAGCGGGGAGCGGCTGCTCTCGGCCTCACCGGTGGACACAGCCATGCTGGTGAGGACACCCCAAGGGACACCCAAACTGGACAGGGGAGGCAGCTCTGGGATTTCACCTGGACCTGAAATCAKCCCTCCCTAATCCCATCAGAGTCTGATCCCAGTGTCACCATCGTSCTCCTTGTCCCTTGCTCCAGGTGTGGGACGTGTCCACTGAGAGCTGTGTCCAGCTGCAGTGGTTTGGGGGTGGCGGTGTCACCTTCTTGGCCTGGTCCCCTGATGGCAGCAARGTGCTGGCAGCCACCCCCTCTGCTGTGTTCCGGTAAGCTCCTCCTTATCCTCACATTTGCTCCAAAAAATTTGGATCTGGATCCCGAGTACCCTCACTGCTGCCGTGGGGGCAGAGTGGGGAATGGGTGGGTGATGGATTCCCAGAGCAGCAGGACTGGGCAAATTCCCAGGAATTCTGCTCCCTAAATCCCATTTCCTGCAGGGTGTGGGAGGCTCAGATGTGGACSTGTGAGCGCTGGCCCACCATCAGGGGACGCTGCCAGGTAGGATGGGACATTCCCCACCCGGGGAATCATTCAGGCTGGAAAAGSTGGTGGGACCAACCCGTGGCACTGCCAAAGCCACCACTGCCCTGTGTCCCCAAGTGCCACATCACACAGCTTTTAAATCCCTCCAGGAATGGGGACTCCACCCCTCCCTCCYTTGGGCAGCCAGCCCAAGGAAATTGTGGAAATCTTCCTAATTTGCAGAAATTTTCCCTAATACCCAACCTGAACTTCCCCTAGTGCAGCTTGAGGCCATTTTTTGATTTTCCCTGGGAGCAGAGCCTGATCCCCACCTGGCTATCCCCTCCTGTCAGGGGACTTGTGGAGTGAGAAGGTTCCCCTGATCCTCCATTTCTCCTGGCTGAGCCCCTTCCCCAGCTCCCTCAGGATTTCTCCAAGCCCTTCCCAGCTCCATTCCCACCTCTGGACATTGTCCAGCCCCTCTTGGAGCCCCAGAGTGACCCCGGGGTTCTGCTGTGACCACCATGCGGAGCAGACGTCACCTCCAAGGGACACGTTGGGGGTTTTATTCAAAATCCTGCRTTGCCAGCTGGCTCCAGGCGATCCTGTGGCAGCTCCAGGTGACACTGTCCCCCCCAGACAGGCTGCTGGAGCCCCGATGGCAGCCGGCTGCTCTTCACCGTGCTGGGCGAGTCCGTCATCTACTCCTTGTCCTTCTCCGAGTACCGGGGTGAGTTCGGCCYGGCTGGAGCTTCCCAAGGGCTGGGCAGGGTTCCCAAATGATCCCACAGCTGTGGGATGAGGAGCTGGGACAGTGACACACAGCTGGGACACACAGGGGGTATTTTGGGGTGTCCCAGAGCACAGAATCTCTGGAGTTCAGGATTTTCCATCCCTCACATCGCTCCTCGCTCTCAGTCGTGGTTGTGGGGTCGGGAAGGGTTTTCAGGGAGACTCCCATTGGGTCCAGGGCCAGCTCAGGGGTTCTGGTGTTTGCTGTCCCTTGTCCTCCATCCCAGCCACTCCTGGGACACCAGCACAGMTGCTCTGAGGAAAGGATAAATGAACAGTCACCATTTATGGAATGTGGATTTATCCCCCMTTTCAGGGGAGATGCAGGGGCAGGTGGGAGGCTCCAAAACGGCCTCGATCGTGGCAGACCTATCTGAGACCATCTTTGAGACCCTCTACGGGGAGGAGAGGTGGGTCTGGGGGACCCCTGGATCCCTGCTCCTCTTGGCAGCCACCCCTCACTGCTGGGGACATCCAGGCAGTCTCTGCCCCCCGACTTTGGGAATTTGTGCTGTTTTAGGATCGGAGGAGAGGTTCATTCCATGGTGTGGGACCCCACTGGGGAGAGGCTGGCAGTGATCATCCGAGGTCAGTCCTGCCCCATTCCTGGGGTTTGCCTGGAAATCCTGCTGCTAGCAGGGAAAAGGGACACTGGGGGACAGGGGGGACAGGGGAAAACCTTCCTGCTTCTGTCCTTCCTGCAGGACCCCCCGACTCTGCGGGCAGCCAGGTGACCATCGCCGTGTTCCGCACCCGCAACAGCCCCGTCTTCGAGCTGCTGCCCTGGTCTGTTTGGGGGAGCTTTGGGTTCATTGCAGGGGGGTTTGGGTTCATTGCAGGGGCTCTTGGGTGGGTTTGGGTTCATTGGAGTGGGTTTGGGTTTGTTAAATCCCAGTTCTTCCCCCATGCTCCTTCAAGCCCTGTCACCGCTTCACCCCCAAATGTCCTTTGGCTTCATTGTCCACTCACCACCTCACCCCACATTGGCTTCGAGTTATCCTTTTCCAGTGCATCCCATTAGATCCCAAACATCCCCAATTCCCTGGGTTTTCCTGTGCTTTGGGTTGTCCTTTCCCAGTGCATCCCATTAGACCCCAAACATCCCCAATTCCCTGGGTTTTCCTGTGCTTTGGGTTGTCCTTTCCCAGTGCATCCCATTAGACCCCAAACATCCCCAATTCCCTGGGTTTTCCTGTGCTTTGGGTTGTCCTTTCCCAGTGCATCCCATTAGACCCCAAACATCCCCAATTCCCTGGGTTTTCCTGTGCTTTGGGTTGTCCTTTCCCAGTGCATCCCATTAGACCCCAAACATCCCCAATTCCTTGGGTTTTCCTGTGCCATTAACCCTGAATTTCCCCCCTGCCCCACAGTGGCTTCGTGCGGGGTGAGCGTGGCGCCCGGCCCCAGCTCATCTCCTTCCACCCCAGCTTCCCTCAGGGTGCCCTCCTGACCGTGGTGAGTTCCTCTCCCTGGCCATTCCCATTCCCAGGGGACACTGGTGGCACTGGGAAGGGRCTGGGATTGGGGTGAGCCATGGGAAGGTCCCAAGGGTTGGGCATGGCAATTCCCACAGCATGGTAATTCCCACAGCACCCCAGGGTGGGGACAGAGGGGTTGGGCAGTGGCCAGGCAGGAAGGGACCTGGAGGGACTGAGGGACATTYCCAGGTGTGCCCAGGTGGCCCAGAATTCCAGTGGGATCCTGGCCTGGCTCTGCCAGCAGGAGCAGGGCAGTGATTTCTCCCCTGGCCTCATCTCCAGCGCTGTATCCAGGTCGGGACCCCCCAATTTTGGAAGGATTTTGGGGTCTGAGTCATGTCCAGAGAAGGGAGTGGAGCTGGGGAAGGGTCTGGAGTTCCAGGAGGGGCTGAGGGAGCTGGGGAAGGGGCGCAGCCTGGAGAAAAGGGGGATCAGCAGGGACTTTATCACTTCCCATGACTCCCTGAAAGGAGGGTGAGGGTCTCTTCTCCCAGGGAACCAGGAACAACACACRGGGAAACAGCCAGGTTAGGTTTAGCATGGATTTTAGGAAAAAAATACTTCCCAGATCAACAAGAATTTGGAATTTGAATGGGCTGGCAGCGGGGTTTAGAGTCCCCATCCCTGGGATGATAGAATGGTGATAAAATGGTGTCACGTCCTGGGTGGGACTCAATCCCAAAGGGTTTTCCCAAACTCTGCAGTTTGGGTGCTCATCTGCTCCCCTGCCCTGTCCCCACAGTGCTGGTCCTCCGGGAAGATCTCCCACATCCCGTTTTTCTTCGTCAGCGCCCTGGAGCCCCATGGCAGCCCCCGCCGCAGCCCCGTGCCCGTGCTGGGCAGTGTGAGAGAGCAGCCCCTGTTCTCTGAGCTCTGAGCCCAGCCCAGGGCCTGGAGCCTCATCTTCCTCATCTTCTTCATCTTCCTCCAGGGACCTCCTGGATGCTCTCCCTCATCTCCCTCCAGGGACCCCTGGGTGCCTCCAGCTCCTGCTGGGTGTCTTGCTGCGCCGGTGTTGTGCCTATTAAAAGTGGATTTTTCCTCCCTTTCCTCCCCCTTCCTCATCCTGAGGGAGCTTGAAGGGTTTTTGGGGGAGTGAATTTGTGATGTCCTGTGGGTCTGGGGGGCTCTGGAGTTGATTTTGTGTCACAAAGAGCTCGGATGAACTCACAGAACTTGGTGTGAGCTCACTGCAACCCATGGGCCAGGGCTGCTCGTTCGGGGTGAAAGAGCTCTGGTTTGGTGAAAGGGGAAGGCAGAGGGGTCTGTGGGGCCACACACAACTTACAGGCTTTAGGGTGGGTCCCTAAAACCCAATCTGAACACCCCAGGGTGCTTGTGCTGCCCTCCATGAGCCCCCCCAGCCCCAAATTGGGGGAGCAGATGGCTCTCCCCACCCCGAGAGGGGATTAATGGTGATGCTGGGGCGCAGCACGGATAAATCCTGGGATTACACAGCTCTAATCCCTCGGATGACACTGCCCTGGCTGGGATGAGGGGGAGAGTGTGGGGTCCCTGCTCACCCCACAGCCCCAGGACCCCCAAACCCTCCCCCAGAGCAA